TGTTTGTAAATTGTGGATTTTTTGCTTTAAAAATGATTGAATTATGTTGTTCTTATCTTCCAGTTAAAGTTTCTATGCCTTTAGTTAACCTGTATGTTATAGTTGTATAATTATCAACAACAATTTAAAAATTGTTTAAGTGTGGCTAAGCCTAATTTTGTTTTGGCCATAGCAGCCGTATTTGTTTACATTTGAAATGTAGCAGAATAGTCGATTTTTTGCCAACCTAAAGAAACTAAGCTTCGCAACAACAAAGTAACGCCTTCTTTTATTATTGCGAATTAAATTATGCTTAATCCATTCTGGAATTATCATTAAAGTTATTAAATTATCCCATATATTGACTCAGCATACCGTCCACAAAAATTAAATCAGTTTTTATGCCTTCAGAGTCTTTTTGCCGAGTGAGACCAAAAGTAAACTTTCAGTTCTGTGCACCGAAAAATCTGCCTTCTTGCCCGCTGGCCGAATTGCTTGTTTTTCCGTCTAATACATCTCTAATAAAATTCGAGATAATAAGTGTTTCATATTAGCAGAAAATACTATCTCCAGTCTGTTTTGGACAGAGAAGAATGTTTACGAGTACGCATTAGGTAAGCAGCGCTAAATCGTCTATGAAATACTGTTTATTTTGTATTTTAAATTTCTTTTACACTTCGTTTTAGATTTATCATAGTATTTGAACATGTGGCAATGATTAGATAATTCTTCAGATGATATAATTTTTTTTTTTTTCGTTCTGAGTTACACACTGTTCGATATTGAAAATGCAACACCAAGAAAGAGTGGTCAGAAATTTATGCAAATTTTAGAGTAGACGCAACTCACTGAGTTATGCGAATGATATGAAATGCGCAGCTCTCCGACGCACGTGAAGTAAGATATAAGTGAAGGAACGTGCAGAATGGCCAATATTCGTGTCGTTATTTCTGCTAGACGAATTATCGAAGAAAGATGGAATTTATCACGGAGGATACGTGTAATAGGAGAGAATGCCAGGCCACCGTCAACGAAAGCACTTCCAGCAGATAGACGATCTTACGAGGGGTATGGTGATCGGACTGAGAAGGGCGGGTTGGTCTTTACGTCAAATCGCAGCTGATACCCACATGGATGCGCCCACGGTGCATCGGCTATGGCGAACATGTTTGGAACAAGGAAATGTGGGAAGAAGGAGGGGTTCAGGTGCAGCCAGAGTGACGTCAGCACGCGTGGATCGACGCATCTGCCGACAATCTGTGGCGGTCCCGCAAGTCACTTGTACCGCGATTCTGCAACATGTGCAAGATACCTTGGATATTCACGTGTCGACCAGAACCATTCCCCGTCGATTGCTTGAACGTGGCCTGCACTCACGGCCTCCGTTAAAAAGACTGTCATTGACCCCACAGCATAGACGCCACGTTTAGAACGTTAGTGTCAGACTGGAGCGATGTGGATGATAGAATGGCCAAACGTCGTGTTCTCAGATTAGTCACGCTTCTGTTTATCCAGTGACAGTCGCCGCATACGTGTGTGGCGTCCACGTGGAGACACATCTAATCCGGAAGTAACTGTGGAATGGCACACCGCGCGACAACGTGGCATAATGGTTTGGGGCGCTATTGCCTACGATTCAGCTCACTTCTAGTTCGTATTCAGGGCACTATGACGGCCCAATGATACTTGGATAATGTACTGCGGCCGGTGACAATCCCCTACCTTCAGGTGCTGCCTAATGAAATTTTTCAGCAGGATAAGGCCCGCATCTGCCAACATGCTCTGCAAGGTATACAGATGCTTCCCTGGCCACCGTACTCTCCTGACCTGTCACCAATCGAACATGTGTGGGATTGATTGGACCACAGTTTGCAGACCTCTGCCCCTGCCTCGTTCAGAAGACGAACTGTGCAAATGTTGAAGGGAATGGAGAGCCATCCCCCGGACACATCCGCACCTTATTGACTCTATGCCTAGACGGTTTTTCGTGCATCGTGCCCGCGGGTCTGGCTTATCGCTTATCCTGCTGAGCCGACGCCGTTCTGGCTGTGTATTCTGACTATCATTTTGAAATAAAGATCACTTATTCCTGCCTGCTGCCTCTGTCTTTTTTCCAAATTTCATCCACTCCTTTTTGGTGTTGCTTTTCAATGTCGAGCAGTGTAAAATGAATGAAATGTAACGCTGTTACACTGTTAAGTGAACCTAGCGCCAAAGTATCGCTATGGTAAATACATATAGTGAATTTTCAAAAGCGCATTTATGCTATTGTGGTTTATGCGCTATCGATGAAGTAAATTTAATTCAATTCAATAAAGTTTAAATGAAATTCGGGAAAAAATGCGTATAATTTAATATTCCGTGCAAGGAAGTCATGTGTTGTACACATCAGATTTTTTTTATTGATTTTACGTACTACGTTCACGTATAAATGTATTCTAAAACAAAGCGATTATTCTTTATTTCAAAAATTCACAACTGAACCTTTTTAAGTGCATTAATAAAAGTTAGTACAATCAGAATCTTTAAATGTTCGAATCAGATTTACGTTGCATTCTAAACTAATTAGTTCCATTCGTAGATTTTCTGGGGTGTTATTCATGTTGGTTTTTAATGAAAATGTAAGGGGTATGGAACTCTGACTTCAAGTAACTTGAATTTTGAAACCTTGCAACACCATATTTGCTACAAATACATAACTGAAATGTCTTCCCAGACCGCATAAAATTGCTTTAGAAGCAGCCAGTTTGAGAACAATGTCTTAGAATGTCTTCTAGAAAAGCAACTCTCCCGTTAGGCAGATAGTCCTCGTGTGCTTTCCTGCATTCAAGTAACCAGTCTAGAAATTCGATTAGTTAATTCAGATTACGACAAAGCACGTTAGGGCTATTTGCCTATGCAGAAAGATGCTTTCGTTGAGGACTTTCTGAGAGAAACTGGCTCTTATACACGTCACACAAAGGGGAAACCACGAAAATGCCCATGCTGCCAGCCCGTTCGCCTGGAATTGAACTCATTTTTTAATTATCAGTATTCGGTGATTTTGCTGCTTCCCTGCTGGTAGGCTTTCTAGAAGTTCGAAAGATTCGAGTTCTTTCTAAGATTCAGATTCAAGAAAGCTTAAAATTCATCCACCACTAGTTTTTTTTTTTTTGGGGGGGGGTCGTTTTGTTTACATTTTAAACTGAATCTTTCTTCGTAGAAATTTAAAACAACACAAACTTCATACTGCAATTTAAAAAAAAAAAAATTCTATCACATGTTAGACTGAAATCTAAAGAATCACATTGCAAGCCTTCTTTATTTAATGAATGTAGTTTATATTAAGACGCCCACCAGCGGCCAAGCGGTAAAATCGCTGAACACTGGTAGTTCGGTCCGAGGTTCGAATCCCGCGAACGGGCTGGCTGCATGGGCGTTTTCGTGGTTTTCCTCATGTGTAACGTGTATACGAGCCATTTCCCTTAGAGTTCCTCCACGAAGGCATCTCTTCCCTAGGCAATAGCCCTAGTGTGCTTTCCATAATTAATACACCAACACCATTATATTAGACAGCCACTCAGAAAAATTTGAAATGACATTTATTGAAACTACATATATGTATACATTTCTAAATATATATTTAAATTATAATTAACTTAAGCGTAATATGTACAACAGTACAATCATATGTTCATGACTAGGTCTTACAATTCGCTGTAAAAAGAAATACTTATAATTACGCAAAAACACGCATACAATACAATACTTCAAGTGAATGCAGATTTAATCAAAAATACTGTGAAATGTTAAATTTAATCTATAACATAGTAAATACAAGTTAAACTTTTATTAAATAATATAAAATAATTAAAGATTTTCGATCAAAAAATATTCATAACTCAATATAAACTATGCAGGTAAACAGTATATGTTTAAAAAGGCAATTCTCCAATAAAAATAGAATTTTTTGTTGTATTAACTTGTAAATTTAATTTCAATGGAATGTGCAAAGAAGAATAATTTGAGTTGTTTTTCCTATAAAAATATTAATTTTAGTAAGTTTCATAAGAAAAAAAATATGTCATACTTTTCAGAACTAGCCATCAGAAAAGTAAGGTAATATTTTTATCAGTTAGAGGAAGAAAAAAAAAATAGAACACATTTATTATCATATTTGTGATTTCTCAAGTTTTAAGTTTATTATAATCACTGCATGAGCGAAAGCATTATTTCTAAATACTCTGAATCTGAAGGCTATGAGAAAAACGTTGTTTTTAGGCAATGTATAAATATTAAATTTTCTATACAAAACTTCTCAGATGAGACTTCTCTAACTATGATAAACAACTAAATATTGGCGGTTATAATATTGATATTTATAAAAACTTATTTCACAACATGCATTTCATATTTCACTTATCAAACTGGCCTGTGTATTTTTATAACTTGTATTTTCAGGAATAAAAATGGAAGTGAAGGAAAACTAAACGTTAAAATACTTTCTTTCATTAATTACCAGAAAATCCAATAGTGAAATATCAGTTTATGATTACGTAACCCATTATTATATCTTGCAAATAGTTAATATTAAAAATTAAAGAAGGTTAAAAATTTAGCAAAACTCGTTTCATTCAAATCACGTTGCAGGTACAAATTTTAACTCTGCATATTCCAAAATATTTCTTACTTCCAGTTTTGATAATAAAAATAAAGAAAAAAAATAAAGGATCAAATGTTTTCCTGTATTTAATTCTCAACCACTGTATTCCTTCGAATTCATTCATTCAAATGATCCCTGATAAAAAAAAATTATTCCAAAACTTCGCAAATACACAAGATGACTATAAAATTTAGAATGTCTATAACAACAACGTTTTAATCTAATACTAATACTTTCTTCCTACTAACATTATAATATTAATACTGTTCAGATAAAAACCAGATATATAATATAATATATAAAATAAAGCATATTTTCGTAGAATACAATTAAAAAAAAGAAAAAGCAGAAAAATAATACATCTGTGATAAATAAATGTTTAAAAAAAAAACCACAGGTAACTTTAATTCACAATAAAAAATGGCAACACTGTTTACTTAAAATATACAAGATTTGTCTTTGTTCTTCATTTTTCATTATTTTGCTCAAAACATTTATTTTTTCTGCAGAAAGTTCTGAATAAAACATTCAGAACTATCTTAAAGGAAACACCTTTTATAATCATTTACATATACATTAGCATCTGGAATGAATTTATATAACACAAGATTCTGGCTTTCAGCTCGTTAAGCTAAATTAATTGTTCAGAAGACTTCGGCTTTCTCTCTTCGTTCTGCCAAGATTAACGACAGTTCTTTGGAAGTGCAAGTTTTATACTGTTTAGTAAAAAGACAAATATGAAATTAGATAGTTAGTTGGTACCTTTTTTAATCATAAGAATCATTCAAAATTTCAGAAATATTAATTGCATAATTTACATCACATAATATTGAGAATACGAAATATTAAAATCGAAGAGCAATCTACAAATATTTATAAATGAATAAACAAAATTAGGAGAGACTCTCCCAAGAATATTTTGAATCTGTCCAGTTTGCTATATGCATTAGACGGAAAAAATTTAAAACAATTCCTTCTATGATTTTCTGAATCCATAATAAACCCATTCCAATAACAAATTTTCTGTGGTTATCATGTATATTATTTTTATTGTAAAACCCTCTTTTCTCTTTCCTTATGCAACGAAACTGAATACATGGAATTGGATTATTTGTATTTGTGTATGGCAAAGCACACAAGGGATATTTGTCTAAAAGGAGCACGTCTTCGAGGAACGACTTTTTAAGGGAAAATGATAACTCATTGCAATTCGCAGCTGTTATATTTAAAGAATTGTAATAAACTGCCAAATATTTTTTATTTATTTAAGTTGAAAAAAAAAAGATGAATTAGAGTAATAAATTTAATTTCATATGAATAATTTTAAAAAAAGGGCCAAAGGGGCGTTTTCTTCATTTACATATAAGATACACGTCATGTATAAGATACACGTCTATACATAACTCTCTCATGTTGCCCACACATAACATCTATCCTTGAAATGTTTCGAGTTAGTAAAGCTACACTTCACCCCTTAATTTCTCGAAACAGTATACTTTCAATAGATAACAAGTTGCTTATTTATAAAACTGTATTGCGTCCCATACTATGTTACGCCTTCCAGATTTGGGCATATTCATACAAATCATATAGGAAAAAGTTACAGCAGGCACAAAATTGTGTCCTAAGACAGATCAGCAACTCGCCTTGGTACGTTCGAAATCGAAAATTTCATAGAATTAGGCATTGAAGACTGAATATTTTTTTTTGGGCCGGCTTGCTCGGAATTTTTATGCTAACCTCGCAAGTATCAACAACCCTGTTATAAGGGTGTACGATTATGATGTAAATGACCCAAATATTTTTAAACGGCTTATGACAGTACTTAGTACTCATATTGTTTAATTTGAATTACTTTACTGTACTTTATGACTTCTGCTGTGATTTAAATGCATCAGTTGACTCGCACTATCTCTATTGTATGTATTATATGTATCTCTATGATATCATAGTATATCTTCATTTCATATCTCTATTGTATGTATATGTAAATGAAGTCTATTGTATGTACATATAAGATCTCTATTGTATGTATTATATGTATCTCTATGATATCATAGTATTCTTCATTTCATATCTCATACACGTTTCGAGAGCATTTGAGCTAAAAATATTTAAAAACAGCGTTAGTTTCGGGCTTTCAAGTTTCCATATCTTTAGAATTTCCGATAAACAGCCTCGCGCGCTGGCGATAATTTTTTTTTTTTTTTTTTTTTTTTTTTTTTTTTTTTTTTTTTTTTTATACAGTGTTGCCATTGCTCGGTTTGGAATCGTGGAGTTTGTTAATCACAAATTCGCTAGAGTTTTATAAGATATGAAATACACAATAAAACAAATTCGAAATTCAAATTTCGGGCTTTCAGGTGTCCATATTAAGGTGGAGGACTACGTTATTCAAAATTCGATGGCTCTCCGTACCATTGTTTTTTTACAATGCGAAAAACGTGCATCATGTAAATTCTTCATTATTTAATTTCTTTAAATATAATATAGGGTGATAATATTTGGTGACAACAATTTGAAAAGTGATTCAGACGTTTATAGTAATTCAACGCAAAATCCCGTTTTGAGACTAATAGCCCTTCTGGGTTAACGCTCCTTTGGGCTAAAAAAGTAAGTCACCATAATTTTCTGCTCCTGCTGTTTGTAGCCAACATTACTAAAAAGGAGTTTCCAGATAAAAAATAAAAGTGCTAATCTGATGTTAAGAGCTTTCTTTAATGGAACATTAGAGGGATTACATGAAAAAGTTAAGAACTTCGAAGTGAATTATTACTACACCTTTCCGAATTATTAGTAAAGAAGCATATAATATTACTTAATTTTCAAAAAATTTTTGCAGTGGCTTATTTATAGATAATCAGCTGAATGTAGACCAAACAAATTTGCAAGTTGTTACACTTTTACCATCCTGTTGTCTTTTACAAGTTCGACAGTCGGTGTAGACTGCAAGTTGCAAGTTAAGACAAAGTTTTTTCCATAATAGTATAGACTTTAAACATTTTAACTACAGCTGCTCTTGCAAATCTCACAAATCTTACGGTTTCGCTGACACTCGTTTCATCGCACTAAACTTCTGCAATTTTTTCCTTATATATTCACAAACAATACATCTACACTATTAACACATATACACTGGACTGCATAATAGGACTAACGGAAAGACAGAGGTACGAGCCTCTTACTCCCTTTATTATAAAAGTTTATTCTAGTTTTTTAACTTGTGGTGTTATATGTATCTCTATGATATCATAGTATATCTTCATTTCATATCTCTATTGTATGTATATGTAAATGAAGTCTATTGTATGTACATATAAGATCTCTATTGTATGTATTATATGTATCTCTATGATATCATAGTGTATTTAATTATGGCAAAGCACACGAGGGCTATCTGCCTAAAGGGAGGGATGCCTTTCGTGGAGGACTTTCTAAGGGAAACTGGCTCGTATACACGTTACACATGGAGAAAACCACCAAAACGCCCATGCAGCCAGCCCGTTCGCGGGATTCGAACCTCAGACCGAACTACCAGTGTTCAGCGTCTTTACCGCTCGGCCGTTGGTGGGCCTTTTTTAACTTGTATAGGGGCGAGGACGCGTTTGCATTAATGTCCAAGAGCTGATGACGGAGTTCTGGAACTGAGCGCCATAATGTCTCAGGAACTAAACCTTCCTCTTACCTTCCTTGGAGTAAGTAAAGGAATACTGTAATCGCGAAACATTTCGGCTATCATATTTCAACAGAAATATCCATTTTTCACAGTTCCCAAATTTCTCTGGACGACATTTTTTTGCCCAAGAAGCCGGCAAGTTCACGAGAATCCTACTTTCCGATAAGCCTATTGTCCTCACTTAGCAAAATTATGGAGGAGGTACTACTCAACAGGATCAACCAACATTTGGAACAAAGTATAATCATACCTCACCAATTTGGGTTCCGAAGCAGACATTCGACGGTCAGCCAACTATATCGGGTTGTGGAACTCATCATCGAAGAGCTGCAGAATAAGAAAGTTACAGGTCTGTTCCTGGATATAGCAATGGCCGTGTATGGCTGGACGCACTCATTTACAAACTACACAATCTGGGATTCCCAGACTACATCACAAGCATAGTTAAATCCTACCTAACCGGTAGACACTTTGTCGTTTGCGTCTCAAACACACTATCAACACGTAGAGCAATATTTGCTGGGGTTCCCCAGGGGAGTCTGCTTGGACCCACTTTAATCAATATTTACGTGAACGACATTCCTACCACACAGAACACAACACTTGCAATGTATGCGGACGACACTGTGATCCTCTCACAAAGTGCATTCATTAGCCCAGCAATACAACGACTACAAGACTACATAAACATGCTCGAGACTTGGCTGACAAAATGGAAGGGCAAAGTTAATGTAGATAAGACTCAAGAAATCCTTTTTACCAAGAAGAACAAATTCAATAAAAACATGCAACTTTACGGAGAAGATATCCCATGGGCCAAGCAAGTCCTTTATCTTGAGGTGATCCTCAGTGCAACTCTCTCGTGTTGCCCACACATAACATCTATCCTTGAAATGTTTCGAGTTAGTAAAGCTACACTTCACCCCTTAATTTCTCGAAACAGTATACTTTCAATAGATAACAAGTTGCTTATTTATAAAACTGTATTGCGTCCCATACTATGTTACGCCTTCCCGATTTGGGCATATTCATACAAATCATATAGGAAAAAGTTACAGCAGGCACAAAATTGTGTCCTAAGACAGATCAGCAACTCGCCTTGGTACGTTCGAAATCGAAAATTTCATAATGAATTAGGCATTGAAGAACTGAAATATTTTTATTGCCGGCTTGCTCGGAATTTTTATGCTAACCTCGCAAGTATCAACAACCCTGTTATAAGGGTGTACGATTATGATGTAAATGACCCAAATATTTTTAAATGGCTTGTGACAGTACTTAGTACTCATATTGTTTAATTTGAATTACTTTACTGTACTTTATGACTTCTGCTGTGATTTAAATGCATCAGTTGACTCGCACTATCTCTATTGTATGTATTATATGTATCTCTAGGACTCAGGTTAAAGCCAGCTCTTTTCCCCTTTCTCAGCTCTCCCAGATGGCATTTTCAGGTCTTTATCGGAACTCGGCGCACACTTTATTTCTGCTAGAATATCTTATTATCCCATTACTCAAACATATGATCATAATTTATTTTAAAAAATATATTATATCTTATGTTAGTTACTCATGACAGCATTCAAAACAACCTACATGTTCGACAAGGGTTAGGGTCCTTGACCCAGGCACCTTGGTGTTACACCACTTCAAAGTGCGACGACTTTTTTTTTTTTTTTTTTTTTGCTTTACGTCAAACAAAGTCCCACAATAAAGGACTCTTTTTTTCCAAAACGGATTGTAAAATTGATTTAAAATTGATTCAACAGAGAGATTTTTTGCCTGACGTCTGTACGTAGGTATGTATCTCGCATAATTGAAGAATGATTCTTCGTAGAATGCTGAAATTTTGTACATGGGACTGCTATAACATCTGGTTCTGTTTTAAATGACGAAACTATTCACAAAATGACAAACTATTCAACTATTTTGTTAACGTAAAATTTAAACAAAAATTTATTTTCGACACATAACGAAATCTAGCTTTAAATGCGGTCTCCCGGTTTCTGTACTTATATTTAGGAAGTTTTATACTCGTTATGGAAAAATAAAATTATAAGAAATTTCTCTAGAATTATAAGAAATTGTACGACATATGTCGAGAAGGATATTTAATTTCAAAATTAGCAATTTTTTATGTCATTTTGAACTCGCCTCGAGAGTTCGGTAATTCAAGTTAGAATAATTTGAGGAAATAAGTAGCAGCACGAAATTGCAGCAAAAAAAAAAATGTGTATAATTTATGTGTTAATTTAATGTGTGCTTGTGGCCGTACAAGGAAGTCATGCGGTGTTCACATCAGATTTTTTATACTAGCGGTAGCCTTCTAGCGGCAACACTGTAACGCCATAGATAATTGCTTAAAACTGTAACTGAAAGTTGCCATTCAATATATACCTACATCGGTTATTAGATATCATAAGCATTCCTTATCGTACTGTTTCAGAAAACAAATCCTTTTAATTTAAAAATGCTATCCACTATAGCGAATTCATTCCACCAGTTCTGCTGAGTATAATAAGTTAGATTAAGAGCAACGATTATTCTTTCTCAAGCTGTTTATATTCAAAACTTTTCCGAAAGTAATTTCCAACGGATTCAGTAGAACTATATATATTCTATTACTATTAGTGTAATTTAACTACGCTAACTAAAATCAAGCGCACAGTCAATTGTGTATATATGTTTTTAAATTTTTCTTTGGTTTAAGTGCTATAAAAAGATTATGTAGTACAGTATACCCCTTTTAAGGACTTATTAAATTAATATGTGTATGACTTGTAGATTCATTTACAATGTTCAGAAAATATATATAACATTGAAGGGCTAATAGAGAAATAATTTTAATTTTTTGACTAATTGTTCTTCATTTACTTCGTGAATCATTGCTTAGCTGATAAAGAGTGTCTTTACTATGCAGAGACTAAATAAATATGGAAACATTATATTAGTTCTCTTTCTAAGTAAAGAATTTTTGTCTCACAGTGCGCAGTCTGACAGAAGTGAGTTACACTATACTAATTAATATACGCTAAGAAACTCACCTACTACAAAACACAAGTTCAAACAATCTGCTAAAAATTCAAACAAGCTACAAGTTATATATTACAAACGAACTATGACATTTATTGGGATACAGCAAAATATACTTAAATAGAAATCTAAACTTATGATATTTGTTATAATGTGTCAGTTGATTTCTTAAAAATAAACAAAAAAACTTACTCCACACATGTTCTTTTGAATTAATAAATAACTATGAACTTTTGAGCCTTCATCACCGAGATATTTTTCAAGCTGAGTTTTTTGTAACTTGAATAGCATCTCAATAGACATGTCCTTCAGCATCTCTTGAGCTCTAATGAAAAAAAAAAAAGTGTCGTTGCTTGTGTAATAACAAATGAAAAATTTCATAAACACTGAAATTATATTTATATTTTACATTATGTAAATAAAAGCATAAAATTAAATACGAGTATTTTTACAAAAGCACAGACTTGGAGAGTATACATTTAGTTTTACCAGCCAGTAATTTCACTTCAGATAGCTTTGCCGTTTTTCTCGTTTTCCATTTCCTTGCCAAAATGCTAATTTCTAGCTCGCGTATATTCAAGCGTGGTAGAAAGAGATAGTATTTAAAGGAAAGTTTTACTGGGTAGAAATAGAGCGTGTTCCGGCTGAAGGCCAAATTTGATATTTGATTCTCTTGAAAGTAATTTATCTGCGGCGTTGCGTTTATTTTCGTCATTAGGGTTGACACGCCGATATTATGTCTAATGAGGCAACTTACCCGCATTTTTTCCTTGCAGCCTTTTCGGCTAAATTACGATTAAGCTTATTTTAATTCTCTTATTTTATTTATTTAAATCATAAATGCTGGCTGGTTATATAAGAACGAGTACTGCCTTCTGTTAACCTTTATCTGAGTTAAATAAAAGAGTCCTTTACATCCTTCACAGTCTCTGTGGCAATTTCCAGGACATAGCGATAAGTGGCTCAAGTCTTAGGTACAATTCTCGTAGTTTATGTTACCAAATACAACGTGACTCTATAGACTTGAAGCAGTAAACAATAGTAATAATGATATCTTTTTTTTTTTCAAAAAAATCATAGGCGATCTAAGAATAAAGAAAGATTTTGAGCCACATACTGTTTAGGAATAAGATGAAATATATATGTTACCGGCAATGTATAAAACGGCAGCATTCTATTGAATACCTAGACATTTTATTCAGTGCCTGGCTTTTTTAGGCGAAGTATGAGAACTATTATGTATTTTACCTAGGCATGTGACATGCGACAGGCGACATGCGACGGAGGACGTGGGCACCACCCCTCTACCAATACGGTTAATCGGTATAGCGCCACGTCCACCTTTATCTAGATCAGCGTTTCCCAACCTTTTTTGGCCAAGGCACACTTGTCGCGGGGAAAAAAATCACGAGGCACACCACCATTAGAAAATGTTAAAAAATTAACTCTGTGCCTATATTGACTATAATAAAGTAATTCTCTTGAATAGGAATCAAATAAGCACAAAGAAAGTATTTTATAATTACTTTATTATGAAATATTAAGTAAACAGAATAGTGAAAAATTATAAAATACTTTCAGTGCGAAAACTGGGCCTGTTTGGCTGAACACAAAGCTGATATTCTGGCTGGAATCGAAGAAAGACACACACGTAGCTCTTCGTCAACAGTTTTCAGTCTCTCTCTGTATTTGGTTTTCATAGCAATCATGCTTGAAAAGCTAATCTCACACAGATATGTAGTGGAAAAAGGGAGCAATGTCAAAATAGCTTTGTTTGCCAGAAGGGGGAACTCCTTGGCAGTATCCAACCAAAAACTGTCCAAAGTAGATCAGCAAATCTTAGCTTGCAACCACGATTTTGTCTCAGTTTCAATTAGTTTTCTCCTGCTCCTGTAAAGTCATTTCCTTTCCAACAACTGATGCTGAGCTATAAGGGTCCCTAACCCAGTCAAGGCATTCAGTTGGAGACTGAAGAGAAATAAAATGACAACTTCTCCTCAAGAGTTTTTAAATGCTTAACTATTATCTCACACAGTGCAGCAGTGTGAACACCTTGCCATTGCATGGTGAGTGTGAACATTTCAAGATTGCCACTTTCCCGTGTTGATGCCAGATTTGCACCTTTGAACGGAATCCATTTATTTTATCTGTACTTGTAAGCAGGTTTTCATTTCGGCCTTGCATTCGGGTGTTCAATTCATTCAGATGATGAAATATATCTGCCAGGTAATGCCAGCCTTGCACACCACTCATCACTTGCAAGCTGCTTTGCGTAATCTGACCCCTCATTTGTCAGAAACACTTTAAGTTCCTCCCAGCTCATACACACGAACCAAGACCTTTTCCACGCGACAACCACCGTAGCCCTCCGTATGAAACAGCAAGGTTTTATGCTTTGCTCCCATCTCCTCACACAAAGCTGCTGCAAATATGCGACTTTTCATGGGTCGTGACTTTACAATGTTTACCATGCGCACAACATCATCCAACACATGAACTAAGGCTGTTGTAAAGTCTTGGCTACGAGGGCCTCGCCGGTGGTAAAAAACAATGCGTAATAATCACATCTGGATTTCTTCTTTCCTTCACTCTGCTTACAAAGCCTTTGGTGCGCCCGACCATGGCTGCAGCTTCCATCGGTGCAGACACTTGTGCAGTTTTCCCCACTTAAGTCCCTCCTTGTTCAAGGTATTCTGATGTGACCCGAAAAATTTCTTCTCCTATTGTTTTTTCTGGCAATACCTTGCAAAAAAAGAAGTTTTCTCTAATTGCATCACCATCAACAAAACGCACATTAGCTAAGAGTTGAGCATGTCCACTGATATCAGTAGATTCGTCAAGTTGCAATGCAAATTTCTCACTGATACGGATCTTTTCCAAAAGTTTGTATAACTGTATCCATGGCACAATTACATATAGACAAAAGCGTATATACGCTTATATTTGGTACACAACAGTCATTGGTGACATAAACATTTGGTACTTACTTCATATACTTAAACTCTAGATCCATAAAATAATGTTATAACTAGTAATAGGTGCTTATTAATTTCATAATAGGAACACTACATTGATATTTTGCCTTACTGTGTCACGTTACGTAGAAATGTATGCGGGTGCATGGGTACAGCTTCCTATTTACAATGCTTATATCATTCGATTTCATAATCAATAGGTACATGGCACATTTATATTACATGAGCAGATGGTACATTGTAGAGTGCCGTTGAGGATAATTGATGCAATTAATTTTATAGTATTTTAAAAATAATGCATTTATACGCAATTATAAGGTGCATAATTGTCATTGGGTACATATACAATAGGCGCATAATACATATACATATTCATATATTAGTTTCTTAATACAATGCTAGGACAAGTAATTGGTGCTGTTATTTTTACATGTTACATGATAAACTGTAGGCGATTGGATGGATAAACTAATATATATACTAATATATATACACACAACTTTTAGGCACATAATAATCACTAGATTCTCAGACATTAAGTACATGGTATACATATACATATATAAACAGATGGTTCACAATACAGTGCTATGGAAAGTAATAAATGCAGTTAATTTTATAGAAAAATTCTAGTTTAACACTACCGCCCACCAGCGGCCGAGCGGTAAAGTCGCTGAACACTGGTAGTTCGGTCCGAGGTTCGAATCCCGCGAACGGGCTGGCTGCATGGGCGTTTTCGTGGTTTTCCCCATGTATAACGTGTATACGAGCCAGTTTCCCTTAGAAAGTCCTCCACGAAAGGCATCCCTCCCCTTAGGCAGATAGCCCTCGTGTGCTTTGCCATAATTAAATACACCACCTAGTTTAACACTATGCGAAACGGCTTCATGTTACACAGTGTTAAATACTGACGCATGAATACAGTAATATTTCTACTTGTTAATACTATATATATATAAATATACAAATATTTAGGTGCATACTTAAACATAGGATACATAATTATTAGATGCATTATGCATATACGTACATAAGATACATAAGATTAGTACATAAGTATAACTGGAACAATTCATTGGTGCTGTTAGTTTTAGTGTAAGATCCTAGTTTAACGCTGTGTGGTACAGTGCCATGCTACAGGATGATATGCGCGGAGCCATGGATGCAGTTATATACATACTAAAACACGTATACACAATTATTAGGCACGCAGTAATCATTGGATTTATAAGCATTATATACATGGTACATATACAGACGATACATAATATATAAACAAATATATATATAATATTTTTATACAGACGATAATAATAATGCTATAGAAGTTAGTTAATGCAATGGGTTTTTTAGAATTAAGACTTTAGATTAACACTATGCGGTAAAGTGTCATGTTGTGTGATGCTATATTCGGATGCATGGTTACATTATCATATATACGAGGATATATATACATATTATTAGGCACATAGTAATCATTGGGCTCACAATCTTAATGCACATAGTACCTTAGTCTCGAAAGATAATGCACATAGTACCTTAGTCTCGAAAGATAATGCACATAGTACCTTAGTCTCGTAGACTTGAAAGTACGTAATAAGGTTCAAATGGTGCTATTAATTTGATGATGCTAAATACTATTAATACAATAATGCAGCAATGATTAATACAGTTAATGATCAATACAGTAACATTTATACTAGAACATATATATACAAATACAAGGCGCATAATTACATTGAGTATAGAATCATTGGGTGCATTATACATATACATACATAAAACATAACTACATGGTGATGGTACTTAAGATACATTTATAAACAGGTACAGATGGTCCTTATTTACATATTGCGGTACAGATAATAGACATAATTCGTTTGGTTGGCATAATGCAAATTGATTAAATAGTTTATTCTTGCTATATTACTAGGAGTGTTGGACACTCCTTACGATAATTCACAGTTATTTTGTGGTGTTGGTAGTTGGTGCTAGACACTGAAGTACTATTCGTGTATATGGCTAAGTATGGCACAGGTCTGTGTTAAGGTCGGCCAGTTTATCCATGAAAAGCCCTCTTTTTCTAACCAAGTGCCTCTGTTTTATCAAAAGCTTACAGAAAGCTTGTCGATTGGTCGACGGAAGGTTGATGTGTAGCCCTTCTGTAAGGGGACAGGAGGTGAGATAATGCTCCGGAGAGCCAGTCTGTCCACAGGCGCACTGGCTAGTGTTACTTATCCCGCGTTTGTTAAAGTACTCGGGAAATGGTCCGTGACCCGTAATGTATCTTACCAATTGCATGTTTGCAAAATTTTTGGTAGTGTCCACGTAGCTGACATGGTAATAAGTC